CCGAAGAACGTCTGTTGAACATCAGCCAAAGAACGTCTGTGTTGAACATCAGCCGAAGAACGTCTGTGTTGAACGTCAGCCGAAGAACGTCTATCTTGAACAACTGTCTTGAACGTCAGCCGAAGAACATCTACTGAAGAACATCTGTGTTGAACATCAGCCGAAGAACGTCTGTTGAACGTCAGCCAAAGAACGTCTGTGTTGAACATCAGCCAAAGTTATCTCGGCTCTAGTGACGACTTTAAAACCTTCGTCAAACAGTTTGAGTCTAAACTCTGAGCTGAACGCAGGGGACATGTGCACGCTAGGCCTTTAATGATGATCGAAGATGATTTATTTATTTAATTTATTAAAGTAGGTGAACTAATATCCTGATGCATGCTCAATAATCCAGGTGGAAACTTGGGTGAACCAAGTTTTTATCATAAAACTCAAAACTACAACGTTTATTTAATTCAATATAAGAATAAAATGCAGAGTTCAGTTTTTCACTGAATCGTGGTTAAAACTTTATTTAGTAATAAAATATTTTTTCACAGTCTGTTAGTAAAATATCACCTGAACCAGTGGACGAACCTGTTCCGGTTAATTTTAGATTATTTAACTTGTTTTGACCCAGTGAGCTCCTGTTAGCTCCGTTAGCTGAGATGCTAACGGTAAATCTGTAAAGCGGTTCTGAGCTGGGTCTGTCAGAACCCTGATTCGGATCCTGGGTTTCAGGGTTCAGTCTGAGGCCTCGGAACCACCTCGTCCTCTGATTGTTCCAGAACCGGGCTCAGGTTGTCCTTGGCAGCAGAGGAACCGTTGGTTCTGTTTGTTGTTCTTGTCGTTATCCTGAAAACGGACGGGTCGGGGTCCACAGAGCCCGGCCCGAGTCAACAGCACCGGTGCTGCTCGACGTGTGAAAGTGTTGCTTTCCCAATCTGGACCGGGTCGGCTGTGGATCAGCAGCCTCTCTGTTATCCAAGCAGCTAAAGTTGGTTCTGGAACGGGTCCTACAACTTGACCTGCAGGCAGTTTAAAATGTTTTTAGTTTTTATTTAGCTTTAATTTAACGAGCATGAACGGTTCCGTCTGAAGTTTAATAACTGACTTTTATAAAACAAAGTTAAGTGTTTGTTGTAGTTTATATTTATTTATTTTATATATTCCTCTGATTTATGAGGCAGTGGACTGAGCCGGGTCGTGGTTCTGTCTGAGCAGCTGACAGAACCACGACCCAGAAACCTGACGAGGGTTTTATTCTGAATTATTTCAAAGTTCTGCAACGTTTTTCTTTGAGACGATTCCAGATGAATTCTTCACCAAGTCTCTCGGATCAGAACAATTCGACCAGAGGTTCACAGAACGTCAGGGGGTTCTGAGAACATCCCAAGGTTCTCTGAACATCTGGACATTCTCCAGATGTTCAGAGAACATCTTTAGGTTTCGAGAAAGTTGGGATGTTTTCTGAACTTCTGGACTTTCAGGGAACCATCTCTAAACATCTGGAGGTTCTGAGGAATATTTGGACGTTCTCTGAACATCTGGAGGAATATTTGGACGTTCTCTGAACATCTGGGCTAACGTCTCATGTTCCTATGTGTTCTCTCAGCGGGAGCAGGAGAACGCCATGGCGCGCCTCAAGAAGCAGCAGGCGGAGCTGGAGGCCATGAGGCTGCGTTACCTAGCAACAGAGGAGAAGGAGGCGGTCCGGCAGGACCGGCAGGAGCTGGACGACATCAGGAACGAGCTGAACAGGTGAGTCCACCTGCTGAAGGAAGGAGAACGTCCTGCTCCGACAGATTAACGTTCAAACATTTAATCAAAACTGATTTTCAGAATCTACTTCGTTCGTCCGAGTCGTGAAACAAGAATAACTAACGTTTCAATTTAAGACCAGCTGATGGAGTGGGATTAAATAATCTGGTTTTCAACAGAACACTCCTGTTTCCTGTTCACATCGGTGCTTTAATGACGTTCGAGAGTTTCAGTTGTAAAACGATGAACGTTGAGCTCAGAACAAAAAATATTTAGTTTCATCTGAACACGCGAGAAGATGAGCAACTGCGCCTCATCACACCTGGACAGGTGTTGAACTCTCCAACACCTGTCCAGGTGTGATGAGCTACAGTTTACAACAGACCCAGATTAGACCTGGATTAATTCTAGAGTCAAGGATTATTAAGACTACATGCTGTGGTTGTGAAGTGTTCCAGGTTTTATTTTATTAATGGTTAATTGTTGTCTACTCACCTGAGAGCGGTGCTAACGAAGCTTCAAAACATCTGGAGGACAAACGAGGAGTTCCAGCTTCTAATCTGAAACTAAATGTAACTGAACATTTTCAGTGTTTAAACTAAAACAAACTCCTCAGTGATGAAATGTTTTACCTTCAGGTTGAAGAAGCAGGAAGAGCGATTAGACCCCGCCCCCAGTTCCAACCTGAACGAGAGCGCCGAGGAACACCTGAGCCGCCTGCTGGAGGAGAGAGACACGCTGCTGAGGACGGGAGTGTACACGCACGAAGACCGGATCATCGCCGAGCTCAACAAGCAGATACAGGAAGCCCTAAGGGACAAAAACCTCTGACGGCCAATCAGAGACGAGCTGGCGGCACGCCGCCGCCGTCAGCCAATCAGAGACCTCCATCAGCTGCTGAATGTATTTTAAAGTAAATGAACCCTGACCCGTTGAGGTGGCAGAACCTCAGGTCCATTTGTTCTGACGTGACAGACGGGCGCGTTCTGCAGGAACTCTTGCGGTTCTCGTCAAAGATCAATAAAACGATCGTTTCCTCCGCAGCAGGAGCTTCGCCTCAAAGATGAACAACAGTGAAGATGGAGCCAAACTGCAGACTGGACCTTTGAACCTGAACCGGTTCTGCTGAGACCAGAACCAAATCTGTCCTTAACGAGAACACGTGGACCTTGAAACTAATTAGAACAGGTTAATTTATTTTAGTTGGTGTTTTTTAAATCAGGCTGCAGGAGAACATGGAGGAGTTTTATCAGACACCGACAGCCGGCCCGGTTCTGGACGTGGACCAGAACCATCTGATTTATTTTGAACGCGTCAGTCAGTCGCAGCTCAGTGGCATCGGCCGATCGCAGCGACGTTCCTGTTTGACACAAACTTTGTTTATAATAAATTATTTTTACACAATTTATTTTTATTTACTCGTTTTAAGTTTGGGCTTAGAAGTAAAAACAATAAAGTGTTTATTTAAAATAAATCTTAAATAAATCACAAAATCTAAAACCTAAAATTTATTTTTAATTAACTAAACATGAAAAATATTTTAAATATTTATATTTGTTTGGTTAACATTTAATTATCTCACCCCAAAAAATAAAACTGGTTTTAAATGTTTTTAATTTAAATTCTATAAATTTCTGTTTTTTTCTGTTTAATAAATCGAACTTCAGCCGTTTGTTCTCATCAGTTCATGGAGGTCTTTAAAGTCAAGGCGTTAAACCTTCGGCTGATGTTTGTTTCAGCTGAGATGAAATCAGCTTAAATAAATTTATTTTAGCCGGATCCCGATGGTTTCTTTTTAACGACGTGTTTCCACCAAAGAACAGCCGACAGTCCTCACAGCAGATTCACCCTGAAGGTCAGACCGTGCAGTGAACTCCATCCCAGTCTCTGAAAGTCGTGATATATTTTCAAATCGCACTTGTGGCAAATGTAGTAGTGACTGCGTAAACTCCATTTTTAGGACGTAACGTTACCCGCATTGAGTCAGAATGGAAGTTGTCTGACATCATGTGAAAAGGGCCTATTGGACCCCTGAAACGCCTCGTCCGATTAGACCTCGTCCAATTGGACCTCTGAAACGCCTCGTCTGATGGGACCTCTGAAACGCCTCGTCCGATTAGACCTCGTCCGATTGGACCTCTGAAACGCCTCGTCCGATTAGACCTCGTCCAATTGGACCTCTGAAATGCCTCGTCTGACGGGACCTCTGAAACACCTCGTCCGATTAGACCTCGTCCAATTGGACCTCTGAAATGCCTCGTCCGACGGGACCTCTGAAACGCCTCGTCCGATTAGACCTCGTCCAATTGGACCACTGAAATGCTTCGTCCGATTGGACCTCTGAAATGCCTCGTCCGATTAGACCTCGTCCAATGGGACCTCTGAAACGCCTCG